CGACTGGACCGGCCCATTGGTGAGTGCGTGGGGGTCCGCCCTCCTCCCAGGGCTACGTCACGGAGCCCCCGAACGCCCGGCGTCCCCCCCTCTCTCCCCCCGCCCGTTGGAGGGATCGGAACGGCCCGTGGGGAGCCCGCTTCTTGCCCCGCGCCGCGGGGCGGGTCTAGACTTGTGACAAGGGCGGGCGGATGGTGAGTTGTATCATCGCATGTATGTGACATCACCTGTGGTGTTGCCTGTAACAAGAGGGATGCAGATGGGGACGCATCGCTGCATATGAAACCACACATATTTTTATTCCTGTAAAAATTAACTAGAAGTTCATAAAAAATGAACGCATACCATAGGTCAGGGGTTTTCAGTCTTTTTGAATCGTATTCCTTGCCTTCCATCAATGCTGACCTTGTGAAGGAACACCTTGAGAGGCTGGACACCTTCAAGTCAGCCGGCCCTGACAGTCTGCACCCCAGGGTACTCAAGGAGCTGGTGAGCATCATAGCTCAGCCCCTGGCACGGATCTTCGAGAGCTTCTGGTGCTGTGATGTAGTGCCTGATGACTGGCAGAAGGCCAGTGTGGTGCCTGTCTTCAAGAAAGGGAGGAAAGTGTATCTGGCAAACTACAGGCCCATCAGCCTCACTTCTATCCCAGGGAAGGTCTTAGCAAAGATTATCAAAGAGGCCATTCTCAACAGACTAGCCGATGGCAACATCCTGAGGGATAGCCAGCATGGGTTTGTTGCGGGTAGGTTTTGTTTGACCAATCTCATTTCCTTTTATGACCAGGTGGCCTATCACCTGGACAAGGGAGAGGAGATTGATGTATATCTTGACTTCAGAAAAGCCTTCAATCTGGTACCCCATGATCACCTCTTAATAAAACTGGCTAACTGTGGCCTCGGCCACACCACAATCCGCTGGCTGGGGAATTGGCTCCGTGGTCAGACCCAGAGGGTGGTTGTTGACGAAAGTCAATCGTCATGGTGCCCTGTGACCAGTGGGGTCCCCCAAGGCTCTGTCCTTGGCCCTATACTATTTAACATCTTCATTAATGATGCGGACATTGGTGTCAGAAGCGGGCTTTGCTGCCAACACCAAACTCTGGGGTAAAGCGTCCACACCTGAGGACAGGAGGGTGATCAGGCTCGGCAGTGCTATGCTGGCTAGCACTACAGATGAAAGGGACTTGGGGGTCATGATTGACCGCAAGATGAACATGAGCCTTCAGTGTGATGCTACGGCTAGTAAAGCAAGCAAAACGCTGGCTTGCATCCATAGATTCTTCTCAAGCAAATCCCAGGACGTCATTCTCCCATTGCACTCTGCCTTGGTGAAGCCGCAGCTGGAGTACTGCGTTCAGTTTTGGGCTCCACAATTCAAAAAGGATGTGGAGAAGCTTGAGAGTCTAGAGAAGAGCCATGCGCATGATCAGAGGTCAGGAAAACAGACCTTACAATGACAGGCTGAGAGCTATGGGACTCGTTAGCCTGCAAAAGCGCAGGCTCAGGCGCGATCTTATGGCCAGCTATAAGTTTATCAGGGGTATTGGGGACGGGAGGGGGATTGGAAGGGGATGGGGTGGCTCCTGCCATTGTGCGTGGCTCACGTGGTGGCTCCCACTGCTCATCCATGCCCTCCTGGACAAGCAGCAGGAGAGCTGCGCTCAGTGGTGAGAGCAGCCCCTGCCCCCTGACGAGCCGTGCCTCCTGGTCCGACCAGGGCCTGCAGCTGCAGTCTGCCCCCTGTCGCATGCGCCCCCCAGATGAGCTGCTTGTGACTCTGTCCCATGCCTCTCCCTGCCTTGTCTGGTCAGCGCCTGCCCCTGTCCCGGCCCCATTCCCTCCCTCACTGCAGGAACCTTGATCTGCCCCCTCCTCTTCCACCGTGCCAAACTTTACAGCTGGATGTAGCTCTTCAAGCTGAAGAGCTACCTATTGGAAATTGGATTGGTATTGGCTGATATGCCTCCTTAAAATTCAGCTATTGGTATCAGTCCCAAAAATCTCTATCGGTGCACACCTACTTTCAATAAGCTTATTTATCCTAGTTGGGTAGCTTGGTATGTGGAGCATACACACTTTATTGATTTGCCTTTAAATAATATGAACTGAAGAGGACACTTTTTAATTGTGAAAAATTGTAAAGGTAGCCACATATTTGTTCTGAAGAGAGAACAGGATGGCCTAATGAACGTGCTTTCTCTCTTGCCTGAATATCTGGCTGATTCCTCAAGCATTTTCTCCACAGTTCAGTCTTCTGTTTGGCAGAAAGGTAGGGGGAATATCTTTTTAAAGTACGTTTTTTTAACAGTTTAGCCAAAAATACAACACAACAGGAGGAAAGGAATGCAACAAATTGTAGAACAACATTGCCTTGCCATTTATAGCTTAACTTCTCTCAGCTTTGGTTTTGCAGTTTTAGAAGCTTTTAATTAGTTCATTCAGTATTTATTTGCTGTTGATGTTACCCTAAGGAGTAATTCCACTATGATTTCTCTTTTCCTAATCCTTGTCAACTTCTGTTTTTGTCCTTAGGAACATGGCTGTTGTATCTGCCATGTACTTGGAGCATAGGCTTGGCTGCAGAGCCATGTTGCTTTCCAGACTGGTATATGCTGTCACTGTTTGGTGCTGGAGCAGTTCTGATGCGTGGAGCAGGCTGTACAATCAACGACATGTGGGATCAGGAGTATGACAAAAAGGTAGAGAAAACTGCATGGATTTGAAAAGAACAGGCAGGCTCCTTTAAATGTTTGATGAGTAAGTAAATCTCTGGCCTTTTCATGAAGTAAAACTTCTTTTGTCTTGCATCAAGACAAGGACAAGTTTGAAGGCTGCTTTCAAATGACTAACATTGGCTGCACGTCTTCCTTATGCAGGTTCCAGCCCTTATTAGCAGAACAAATCAGCAGAGGGGGTCTGCGTGTGTATGTAGAATTACTGGAGTCTGCTGCCATTTAGGAGACATTTTAATCTGTTTAAGCACAGATGCAGAGGGGTGCTGTGTTCAGGATGCAACAGGGGGAAAATTAATGGAATAGGAACCTTAACAGTTACATTCCCTGACTTGTGTGCTTAATTTTTCCAACCTGTCATCAGTTCAAACATACAGAGCGCAAGTTGAGCTTGTTAACAAATAACTTTTAATTGCTGTCAAAGAGCTGAACATACTCTTGGCAGTGTGGATCAACGCAGGGAATTACTTCAGAAGTTTTATACACAAATCAGGTTTTTTATTACATTTAATTTTTTTTACCATTCATAACCTGATCCAGTCTCATAAAACCATATGTGGGTATACCCTTATGATTAACTAATTAAAGAATAATTATGCACATACCTTCTTTTCAAAGAACATTGCAATATTATCATGTGCTGTAGCAAGCACAAAGCCCATGGTTCTGCTCACTCAGTTCTGGTGGCTAACTCTGTAGACCTCTCAGGTAATTCATTACCCTGGCTTTTGTATTCTTAAAACAAGTCTTTTTCACTGCCTTCCAGGCCATTTGCTTTGATTCTGTCACATGGAACTTATCTTTTGCCCGGGTATTGGGTGCTGCCAGCTTGTGTAGCTTTAGTTATTTATGGGTTTGTTTTTACTGGAGGGTGGGAGGAGGGTGTTAGTCAGTGACGCTTGAACTTCTACCTTAGCCAGCATACATTGCATTAAAGTCTGCCTTTTGCTTGTAATATATATTTTAACAGGTTATATTGGGTTTCATATTAAAACAGTTCTTTCTCTGTTTAGGTTACCAGAACAGCAAGTAGACCAATAGCTTCTGGAGATATCTCAGCTTTTCAAGCCTTGGTTTTTCTTGGGGGACAACTTAGCTTGGCTTTATGTGTGCTGCTCTGCCTGAATTACTATAGGTAATGTGTATGTGATTATTCATTCTTACTATAGTTCTCCAGGAAGCCAAAGCCAGGAATGATGAATTTCAACAGAAAAGGCAATTATTTTGGGAAAGTTACCAGCAAATGAATTTGTGGGTTGATAATGAAAGAATTATTTCAGTTTTAACTAAAGAATCAACTGCGATTCTGTAGTTAAGAATCTGATATCATTATATCAGAAATATTGATCCTTTGCCTAGGAAGTAATGGTGAGTATAACAGAATGATTTTAAACAAAACGAGAAGTTTTCTGATAAATGTCTCTTGTTATAGCATTGCTCTAGGAACAGCTTCTTTGTCTCTTGTGATTACTTACCCCCTGATGAAGAGAATCACGTATTGGCCACAGTTAGTTTTGGGTGAGTTAAAAAATGGCTATTTTTCTTTTCTTTCAAATATAATTGTTTTGTGTTCTGGTAAAATCTTCATTGTTGAGTGAATGTATTAAATCAAGTTGCCTGAAACTGCAAGAAAGATCCATGAAATGGTGCATCCTCAAATGGTTAATCAATCAATTGGAGCTTTCTTTTTATTTCCATGTGCAGTGATGTTGAGAGAGAGTGAGTGAATATTTTTACCTAAGAATAAACTGCGGTCCTGGGAGATATGAGATGTTTTTCTCCCAAGCTCTGAAGTGTAGGGTGAAATGCATAGTTAAGAAAGCTTGCAATCTGAAACACTTAATTTAACTGAAGTAAAGAGAAGTACTACACAGTATTCCAACTTGGGTTGCTAAGACGTCTTTCATATGTGTTGGCTTCCATAATTTTTTCTCCTGAAATTGTTGTGTGTCATCTTTTTAAGAACCATCACTGCCATGTATGTTTTGTTCCCCTCCACTTATTGTTCTTTAACAACACAGCCAGTTATGCAGAAACTTTGGCATTTTTGTTATTTTAGATACAGGCCTAGTCCTGCAGACTTTGTTGAAACTTGTCACATGTAAGTGTTGCAGGACTGGGCCCTATGTTAGCTACATAAAGTTTAATTTAGGAGGAAAAATCTGTTTGTAATATTTTACTACTTATGCTATATAGTATGCTTAATGTGTAATATATAGTTACTGTTGTTCAGTAGAAACATCAAATATATAAATGTGTGTTACAGGCCCAACAATGTGATACACGTTTGAGATTTTCTTACATTCCACGTGATTTACTATAGGGCACGTTTTTCTTTATCAAGGATTCCACACAAACTAGAATTGTTTTTAATCTTAGAAAGCTGGAGACAAGACCAGAATTTCTTAGGATTCTTTTCTTTTGGTGCATTCACTCAGCAACACAGTATGGTGGGTGTAGATTGAATTTTAGATTGCCTGTCATCATGGGCCAGTGAAAACAGTAGAAGCAGAAACTGAGTTTGCGTCACCTGTATAGCAACAAAGAGCACTCCTTGGCAGAAGCATTGCAATATTATGCTACCTCCAGACCAAGTGGGGACAGAAAGGACAAGTTAAAGCTAACTCTCTTTAAGATGCCTTATTGCTCTGTTGGAATAGTCAGTATCCTCTTCAGTGCACCATCCAGAGACAGGGATGTTAGTTGTTTCCCTTCTGTTGCAGATACAAGCAGAACATGAAACACGAGAACTAGCCAGAAGGAAGAGAGGGCTGTTTTCCTGTAAAGCTATTGTTCCTTGTCTTTCGCACAGTTCCTTTTTCCTTCCCCACAAGGAAATAACAGAGTAATTTACCTTTGTCCTTCGTTTTCAAATATGGTACAAGGGTTCTGGGTGTATAAGGTTTAAAAATATTATGTTTGAGTGTCTTATGTGGATGAAAAATAGAAGTTAAATTGTTCCTGACTATTACACTTCAGTTCAACATGTATTTTTTTTTCATGTTTTATGGCTTACAGGGCTTACATTTAATTGGGGTGCCTTGCTTGGGTGGTCTGCCATCAAAGGCTCATGTGATTGGTCTGTCTGTGTGCCTTTGTACTTTTCTGGAGTTATGTGGACATTGATATATGACACTATCTATGCTCATCAGGTAAAGTAGTGAGGTTGGGTATAATTTCTTCCTTGTTTGATATGTGTGGGTGTCCAAGTGTGTTTAATTTATTATTCTGGATAAACATGGCTCCTCTATCCTTTCTGCTGCAATTTTTGACCTTCATAAGATTGAAAACAGCAGGAAACAGCTCTTAGAAAAAAATTTCATCTCCATTAGTTTTTTCACCCCAACCAGTGCCCCATGCCCTAATGCTTTTGACGTCCTTTTCATTATACTGGCTGTGTGAGAGGTTTGAATATCCTGCTTGAAGGCTTATCTTCAAGCGTTGTGCATACCTAGGTGTGGAATCTCTTAAAATAATTTTTTTAAGCCATTAATTAAATAAGTACTCAGCAGCTTTGGAAATCAGGCTCTCTATGTTGGTGACTAAAACAAGCTTAAGAACTTCACTTAAGGACTCTTTCTAAAATATAAACATCATAGCCTTGAAAAAAGGCCTTTCTCTTATACTGGCCACACTCCCAGAAGGTATAGCAAAATGCCTCATGCAGTGCTTTTTTTTTTTTTTTTTTTTTTTTTTCCTGGTAACAATCTTTTTCATTCTAGGATAAAAGAGATGATGTTGTCATTGGTGTGAAATCGACAGCTCTACGATTCAAGGAAGACACCAAGCAATGGCTCAGTGGTTTTGGTGGCATTATGCTCATGGGTTTGTGTGTGGCGGGAATGAATTGTGATCAGACCTTCCCTTACTACACAGCAGTGGCTGCCGTAGGGGCCCACTTAGCTTACCAGGTTTGAATTCATCATTTTTCTTATCATTTTTTCTGTTTGTTAGTAATCCTATGTCAGTTTGCCTAACACATCCACCTCTTGTCTCAAACTTATATTCAACACGAGCTTAACCTAGGTCTGCTTTTACAAGAATCAGGAGATAGTAATCTTGATTTTTCTCCCAGTGTGTCTAATGTTGTCACCATGACATGTGGATACATAAAATAACTAGGGCTTACAGTTGGTACCTAGTGAGACTGGGACACTGGTTTGGGAGATTGGGAGACTAAATGGTTCTGTTTCTTGGTAGTGACTGCTTGATATTTAAAATGTGGTTATACTCTGTAGAAGAGCTATATAAAAGGGGTTTTGTTTGTTTGTTTTCTTCCACGTGAGTCCATTAAATTGGCTCAGTTTACACCTGGATGGATCTTCCTGGATTACCAGCCGTGCAAGCGCAGTACGGGATGTGAAAGTCAAACTAAATTTCTCTGGTTTATGCACCATCACCAAAAGCAAATTTAATTCTTTTGTCATCCAAGAATCAGTCCAATTCATTATCCCACAGGTGTGTTGTTTTTGAAGAGATAATGATTAAAATAAATGGGGGGGGGTTACTAAAGTGGTATGAGCAGATTAGATAAAATTGAGAATAAACAAAGTAAAAAATGTCACATACTTATATTTCTGATCATAGTGACTTTTCAAACTCAATATTCAGCTCCTATCTAGTCCAAGATTATAGTGAGAGTGAGTACTCTGTAGAAAACGAATTGGTGGTCACTGTAGTAAATGCTTCTTTACTGGCAACCTTGCTGTTAGTTCAACAGTTTAAGTATGTAATTAGGTTGAAGACTGATCCACAATCTTCCCCTGATGAGGTCTTAACGTGTGTTGGGGTAATGTAGGATGTGCAGACAACATGCAGATAGAGGCAGTACTGTCACTGTGGATGGGAATATTTCATTCTCTAAAATTGTTTGTGGCATGCTTTATGAGCACCAAATTTCCTTTTTCTTATCATGCTAGATTTCCTTTTTTCTGATTCAGTGGCTAGAATTTTGTTTCCACATGAGTCTTGAGTTTTGGCACAATGTGAACTATTGTTCTCAAGGCCAGATTTGGATGCCTGAAAACCAAAAAACAGACACAAAATTACTTATTTCAATGATAAACCAGCTGAGTCATAATATGGATTATGTGTAGCCTGCTTAATTTCATTTCTGGTTGCTTCACTACCTCATAGTGCTAGTAGAGAAAAAGAGGAACATGGGTCATAGAGATTTATTCCTGTCTTATTAAAGAAGGTAAATGTTCAGCCAAAAGGAAACAGTTTAACTAGCGACAGGTCTGAACAAAGACTTATATGTTAGTTTTACTCTTTTAAAGAACTATTTTGTAAAGTGGTTACTGTTCTTTAATTTGTTTCTTGACTCACTGACTATGCAAACTTCAGGTCAAGAGATTTTACGTCTGAAGGTGTGGGTCGCATTTTATACTAGTGCCTCATGGATATGTTTCTACATATTTCCCAATCGGAATCTAGTTATGTCATTCTTTGTGCCTCTATAGCAGTTTCAGGTCCAGAGGGAAGGTGTTATTCAGGCATTCAGTTGCCTTTAGCTTCATATGTGTTTGATTATTCCTAGGAAGTTAATTGCAGTTTCCTTTTGCTATATTCATAGTTTCGTAGTTGGTAGGGTTGGAAGGGACCTTGACAGATCATCAAGTCCGACCCCCTGCCATGGCAGAAAAGAGTACTGGGGTCAAACGACCCCAGCAAGGTATTCATCTAACCTCCTCTTAAAGTCTTCCAGGGTAGGAGCCAGCACCACTTCTCTTGGAAGTTGGTTCCAGATCCTAGCCGCCCTGACTGTGAAGTAGCGCCTCCTGATGTCTAGTCTGAACCTACCCTCTGCCAGCTTGTGACCGTTATTTCTGGTCACTCCTGGTAGTGCTTGGGGGAACAGGGACTCCCCCAATGCCTGCTGGTCCCCTCTGACTAGTTTGTAACAGGCCACTAGATCCCCCCCCAGCCTTCTCTTGTGGAGCCTGAACAGGTTCAGGTCCTGTAGCCTCTCCTCGTAGGGCCTGCCCTGCTGCCCCCGATCATGTGGGTGGCCCTCCTCTGAACCCTCTCAATGCTGTCCACATCCCTCCTGAAGTGCGGAGCCCAGAACTGGATGCAGTACTCCAACTGCGGCCTGACCAGTGCCACATAGAGGGGAAGGATCACCTCCTTGGACTATTCACTGAATATGTTGAGATCTCTTGCTCCTTTTTCCCCCCTCTTGCCAGCAAAGGCCCTCTTGCCTCTCTTTTGCTTCTTTCTGTTTTGTTCCACTGCACTTCCTGTTGGTAACTCTGTTCTTGACAGCTTACATTTTCTTCCGTCACATGAAGTAGTAGGGACAGGGAATGGAGGCAGCTAATCCTTGTTCCCAGCTGCTTCTGCAGGTATCCTGAGCCCTCTTTGCAAAGGGCAGTATAGATGCCTTTTGGAGCAGCTGGAAAGGTGGAGGTAGAACTAGCACTGCAGGACCAGTCAGCTTTCTATACACCACAGTTGTATAGAACTGTTCTTTCTTTCATAGTTCTTTCTGTGCTTGTGATGAAACTCAGACCAAACATTATTAAATTCTTCAGAATGCACACAGATGCCAAGGGGGAGTTGGATGTATCTCAGCACTTCTGAAAATCCTACTGGGTCCCAGTCTGTATCCTGACATGCGTAAATACCGTTTACCATCTTCCTTGGTCTCTCTGTTGTAGAGAGGAGCCAGGATTAGCATCCATACATGACGCAAAGGCACCTTTTCTGCTTTTCTGTTGTATGCACTGTATTTGAAACAAATCTTGTAATAAGCTCAAGTAGGCAGACCTCTGTGTCTGTTAAGAAGCCACTGAAGGCAGGATGCATGTCTGTAAAGAGCTTGTTGTGGAGATGGAGCTGAAGATGATGGGTTTCTGGGAACATAGATCCTCTGCATGTGAAGTGCCTAGCAGGCTTGTGGAATTATAGAATAATAAAAACAGAACATTGTCCTGTACTTTCACAGATTTACACTTTGGACATAAACAAACCTGAAGATTGTTGGAAGAAGTTTACCTCTAACCGCACATTAGGAAGTTTACTTTTCATAGGGATTGTTCTTGGAAATCTGTGGAAAAGAAAAAATCCCAAAGAAAAGGAAGAATTGTTAGAGATCAGCTAGTGAATGTGATAAGCACTGGTAACTGATGTTTATTTAAGGTACTGTATTGAAATGTCTGGCCAAGAGGAGGACAGGGGAAAAGTATCTGTCCAGAAGATATTTACAGTACTGGTCAGGAGATGCTTCCAAGGCCTAGGACCATGAGGCCTGGCTTCCCAACCCCTGCCCCCCTCGTACCAGAGCAAGAAGCCAGGGGTGTCTGGCACTGTACACTCCAGAATGATACTGTTAGTCGCACCTGTGTGGGAGGAAAAATACTTGGGGGTAGAACTACTAAAGATTTTATTGCTTACATTATATAGACCCATGGTCATTATTTTTAAGACAGTGCAGTAGAAAACAGGACAGTTTTTAGTATTTATCTCATGAATATGCTTACAAGACTGAGTCAGCCTGTATTGTTGAAAGTGAGGCTTCTTACTTGCATTTGCTCTTGAATTGTTAAATAGATCCTGTCTGATATGAATGTTTTGTAAAAAGTATATTACTTTGTGGTCACTTGTACTTTGTAACACAAGAGGCATCTCACAGGAGATAGCATGAGGAAATGCAATGATACTGTAATATAAAATAAAGTCTGCTGTATGAAGCTCTGGTGTTTTGCTTTGTGCAGATGTTAGTTGTATGAAATACTTAGCTTCAGTAAGTCATTTTTATCCTGAAGCATTTAGAAGCAGAAGGGAGCAGCTTTTGGGTATGGGTAATTAAGAAGTAGCGAAGTAGGGAAATTGCCTCCTTAATATTCCACGGGATGAGCCAGCTGTGATTCTGAGCCATGGGTTAATGCTGTACCCAGGTCTGTTAACCAGGCCTCCTTACTTATCTATCTAAAGTCTCTCCTGCAAACAAATGTTTGCAGCATTGCTACAAACACTGCAGTGGACTGTCAAGAATGAATGGTTTGTATATGGTTTGCACACAACCCTCTCCTCTCAACAGTCCAGAACTATTACAGTGCACGCAGCTGCTCTTAACTTATGTTGTGATCTTACCAACCTGCTCTTGTACTCTGTAGTACTTAATACTCCTTTACTCCCTTACATTGATTACCCTCATTGTACATCACACCTTCAGTACTGTAAGATTTCCAAAAGAAGGATGTCATCCCCCGAGTTCTGTAGAACAGCGTTTCTCAACCCGTGGGTTGCAAGAATATATGAAAGTGTTGCGAACAAACTTTAAAAATGAATTCCAGCCTGCAAGGGGCTTCTTGCCGCTGTGTGTCGTCCCCACACACCCCTGCCCTGCCCTACACGCCCACCCCCTGCCCCACACACTGCACGCAGGGGGAAGCGGGTCAGGAATGAGGTGCACTGGGTTGGGACTGGGCAATGATGTTTACAAATGTGTCCCAGTACAAAAATGGTTAAGAACCGCTGTTCTAGAACATCTAGAGTACCTTTGGACGCAGTAGTAACACCTAGTAACGGTTGGCTGAAATATACTTGGCTCAGAACTAGTTCGTAGTTGAATGTTTTCTATTGTTAATTGCACCATTTACAAATTAATAGAATATTTTCATTGGGTCATAGTACTGAATATTCTAATATTATAAAAGCCCGTAATCTGTCTGTCGGTCCATAACGCTTTATTCATGCTCTGATTGGCTGACAAACAGCCAATCGGAGTGCGAAGAAGCATTCGGACAGGTGCCAATGTGCTGCCATGATGGCAGGTGAGGTCAGCGCAGCTGGTCTTGCCCCCCTTGCCCTGCTCCCTGCAGGTGGCGACAGTGGGGGCGGGAGGGCACCGGAGCTGGCTTTGGCCATCCTCCCCCTTGCTGCTTGCAGGTGATGGCGGTGGGGGGTGGGGAACAGGGTTGGGATGCTGCAGGGGTGCGAGGCCACGGGCACTGTCCTCAGCTTGCCCCTCCCCACCCTTCTGTCTGCCCTGCCTGCAGGGTGGGCCCAATGCAGGGTGGGGGGGAAGGAGCGGGGACAGCTGTGGCAGTTGGGAAAGGAGAGGAGTGGGCCCAGGCCCAATGCAGGGGTGGGAGGAGAGCAGTGGGTGCAACCCCACATAGCAGCTGGGGGAGGGGAGGAGTGAGCCTCCTCCCTCCCTCAGGCCTGGGCCCACTCCTCCCCCAC